AAAAAAAAAAAAAAAGAAAGAAAGAAAAGAGATGTTGAGGCACCAATGCACCAGCAACAGTGGGAGCTTTTATACCCCTAAGCCTGAAGGGGCAAAGCAGGGTAGTGTCACTGGAGCCCTTCAAGAGCTGAAGCCTTGAAAGAGGGTTCACACAGCAAGAGTTGTGCTCCTGGAGGGCGATACTATTGGCAGAGAAATCCCCTGACCTCTCTGCCCCCCATTCTCCAATCTCTTCTTAGCATCTCCCTTTGCCAAATGTAGCCAGGAGCCAGCAAGCAACGAACAATGAATGGTGCCCTGTGCTTGGCCCCCAGGGCACAAAGCAAAGCATAGAAGGGAGCAGAGTAAAGAGGAGGGAAGCTTAAATGGAAATAATCAACACTAGCAGTCCTGCCTGGGGCCCTGTGGAGAAGGAGTATACCCTTTAAATGCCAATCCCAAATTCCTAGAGCTGACAGTTCTCCTCTCCAGATCCAGCACCAAAATATCTAACATTGTGCCACACTCCCTCAACATGGGAATGTCAATCAGAATTTTCCAGACCTTCGAGATTCTGCTGGACTCATCTGGCTTTTGTCTCAACTAGATCTGGCACCACTCCTTCTACAATGAGCTGCGTGTAGCACCTGAAGAGCACCCCACCCTGCTCACAGAGGCCCCCCTAAATCCCAAGGCAAACAGGGAGAAGATGACCCAGGTAAGAGGCTGGAAGCCTTGAGCACTAGCACAAGAATGCAACAAGGGATGCCTGGCCAGGTACTTTCTCCCCTTCATTCCCCTTAGAATTCTTTGAGGGTCTGCTGTGTGCATAGTCCACGCAGGACAAATGGGAAGTTGGCATGCAATAAAGAAGTATCAAGTTGGCGTACTTCCTGCTCTTAATAAGATTACAGACTGGGCATGGTGGTTCACGCCTGTAATCCTAGCACTTGGTAGTCTGAGCCAGGTGGATTGCCTGAGCTCACAAGTTCGAGACCAGACTGAGCCAGAGCAAGACCCTGTCTCTAAAAATAGCCAGGTGTTGTGGGAGGCGCCTGTAGTTCTAGCTCCTTGGGAGGCTGAGGCAAGAGAATCGCTTGATTCCAAGAGTTTGACTTTGTTGTGAGCTATGACACCATAGCACTCTACTGAGGGCAACAAAGTAAAATTGTCTCAAAAACAAAGATTACAAACCATTCTGGCCAGGCAAGGTGGCTCATGCCTGTAATCCTAACACTTTCAGATTGTTTGAGGTCAATAATTCAAGGCCAGCCCAAGCAACAGTGAGATGCCATCTCTTAAAAATAGCCAGCATGGCTC